CTTTAGGCTAAGCACCAGGAGACAGTGAGTTCTAGTTTCACCTTAGCCAAGAAAGCCAACTGGGTGACTTTGGGCCAATCACCAGAAATGGTGAATTGTAGTCCCGCCTTAAGCATGAAAACCAGCTGGGTAACATTGGGCCAATTGCCAGTAGGCGGTGAGTTGTAGTTTGACCTTAGCCAAGAAAGCCAGCATTAATACAGATGATATAGGTAGTCCTCAACATACGACTGATGCCTTTCTGATTGTTAAAACTGATGAGAGACCTTCCCAGAAGTACTTGCAACCTGGCTCTGTAATTTTAATGTCTCCCCTCTCACCCATTGTCACATGATGGCGGTGATTTGCTTAACAACCATGAGCCACAATGGTCATAAAACCAAGCACGACTCACTTAGCCAACAGCTCTGGTCTCAATTACAGTCGTAACTTGAGGATCACCTGTGCGTCGTCCTAAGAGATTATTTCAAAAGTGAGCTAAGTTTACCGGCAGCTGTTCTTTCGCCCTTTTCGGGAAACAAGCTGGAGGAAAAAAAAATTGAACATTTTTTTCCCCCCTTCTCCTTTTTTGTCTTCCTAAACAGATTCCAACGCTGCGAGAGAAGTCCATTCTGCTGGTAAAAATGATGACCTACATTGAAAAACGTTTTCCCGATGACCTTGAATTAAACGCTCAGTTCTTAGACCTGGTTAACTACGTCTATAGGTAAATTACAGCAATTAATCACCCCTGGTTCATAATTTGTGCCATGTGTGACCTTAAAAAGGAGTCATTCATCTTTCGAAGTCAAAAGCTTAGGGACTGGGGACGGTTGCGGGGATTGGGGGGGCGGGGGACAATGAATTTTCAGCTCCCCGAGGTTTTAGCTCTTGTTCCCGCCACTCAAAGCTTACGTCAATCTCTCTCGGTTCTTCTAAGGAAAAGGGATCTTTCCCCCAATCCGATAGGACAGGGGTCCCCAGTCGTTGTGGCTTGGTGGCCCAGCTGGTGGGGGGTGGAGAAGGGAACCGGGTTGCGTGTGCAGCGCACTGGCACGCGGGAGGGAATGCTGGTGTCCTTATTCAGGATAATGTCCGCGTTCCAGAAAACCTCCACTCCAGCCAATAGCTCTTGAGACCGACATCTTCTCAAAAGTTCTGTTTTAATTGGATAGTAAACTGGCACATCTGGGGGGAAATTCCAAATCTGAAAGTTCTGGATTTCCTTGCAATAAATAAAAACTACAAATCCACCCCAACTGCACCCATCATCACTTCACATGCCTCAATACCATCTGCCCCAACTTCCTCTCACCCAGGTGCAGAAATAACATGACCTTGAATTAGAAAAAGAATGTTGTTATGTCTAACTACATACCACGCCAAGAAATTCCCCTCTCCCATTTTCCCAGTCTCAGAATGTGGCAGTGTGGGAGCATCTGATCTCAGTAGCTGACAGCTGAGCAGGAGGTTAGCAAGCCTGCGTTTGAGACCCGATGGCCACCTCAGGACGGGGTTGAGTTCCCGTCCTTCCATCCAGCTCCTCCGACAGGGCACCGGTGATGTCACCGGCCAGTCCTTTCAACCCGGAAGCTTCTGAGACAACTGCAAACAAACAAACAAACAAACAAACTACCAGGAGTAACTTAAGTTCCCCCTCCCTTTGTTTCTTCTTAGGGATGAAAACCTTTCGGGAAGCGAGCTGACCGCCAAACTCGAGCCAGCCTTTCTCTCTGGCCTCCGATGCACCCAGCCTCTCATCAGGGCTAAGTTTTTTGAGGTCTTCGACAGTTCCATGAAGCGACGGGTCTACGAGCGTCTGCTGTACATCACCTGTTCTCAAAACTGGGAAGCCATGGGGAACCATTTCTGGATCAAGCAGTGCATCGAGGTGAGGATGCAAAGCGGTTGGGTTTTCTCTTGTCTCCACCACAAGCAGAAGAGACAAGAAGATGATTAGGTGACTGGAGGCTAAAACACATGAAGAACGGTTGTAGGAATTGTCTGGTTTAATGAACTGAAGGACTCGGGGTGATTTAATTAGGGCGATTGCTGGAATCCTGACACTTGGCAACTTTAAGACTTGTGGAATTCAACTCTCAGAATTCTGGGAGTTGAAGTCCGGAAGTCTTAAAGTTGCCAAGTTTGGAGACCTCTGGTCTATAGCCTGTCTCTCTCTCTCTTTTTTTAACTCCTTCTAGCTCCTGCTGGCGGTTTGCGAAAGAAACACAACAATCGGGACCAGCTGTCAAGGAGCCACACTTCCCTCCATCACGAATGTGATCAACTTGGCAGATAGTCACGATCGGGCAGCCTTCGCGATGGTTACCCACATCAAGCAGGAACCTCATGAACGAGAAAACAGTGAATCCAAAGAAGAGGTAAAGTTTGATTTCTTTTCCTGTCCCCTGTCCCCAATGTTACAAGGACAAAAAATTTGCCCTGTTGCCTGAGGAATTACGGGCTTTGTAGTTAAGATGACTTAATTTGTAGAATTGTGGTTACAAGTCCTCGACGTACAACTGCTTGTTTAGGGACTGAAGTTACTACGGGACTGCATCCCGTACAGTGACAGCATCCCCTCGGTTACGTGATCCAAATTAAAATGCTTGGCAACTGTTGTGTACTTATGCCAGTTATGATGACCCAAACTAAAGTCAACACAAGATAAACTCACATTTGCTTCCAGCAGATGCCACACTCAGCTTGCATTCCTTTTAAACTCTCATTCTCAGGTGTGGCTAATGAAGGGAATCAGGGCCCTTTCCTCCCCCGTAAGCCATGCAACCCATGTTGCTCCCTTCTCCGTTCCTCCCTGTGTGCCCTAGGATGAAGAGGGGGTGGGCCTGGGTCTTCCTCTGAACTCCCTTTTCCTTGCTCTACCTCTCTCCTGCTCTGCCCAGCTGGACTTTGTCCTTCCCCAGTTTCCTCCACAGACAATGGAGCCACACTCCCGCTCTCTTTCAGCTGTTTGTCTTTCTCCTCGGATTCAGACTCCGACAGGGGCAGGTCACCAGTTGTCGTGTCCCGGGATCACATAATCAATCATCTTTTGCGACCCTCTGACAATCAAAGTTAATGGGGAAGCCAGATTCACTTTAACAACCGGGTTACTAATTTATCAACTGCGGTGATTCACTTAACAACGGTGGCAAGAAAAATCGTAAAATGGAGCAAAACTTGCTTAACAACTGTTTCATTTAGAAACAGAACCGTATGGCCATTGGTACCACCCCAGGGTCATGCGACTGCATTTTACGATGAGTTTTTTTTGCTGAAAACCTGATGTTTACTTTCGTTTTTGGGCAAAACCCACGCCCATTGGAAACCATTGGTTCACTTAACGACAGCAGCATTTGCTTAACAACAGTGGCGATTGTTACATAACCCTAGCCATCCCTTAGTGATTGCCACCTCCCCAAAAAACCCCATAAAATTCACCATCGCAAGTTACGACCACAGTGGGCAGGCTCTGTGACAGTCGTAACTCGAGGTTTTTCCTGTCTTCCTGTACATGGCTTACGTAAGGGAAATTTGGGGTTACAGGAAGGTTGTCTGGTGGCCAAAACTCTGGCCTTCTCTCCCCCTTTGCAAACAGGAGGTCGAGATAGACATTGAGCTGGCTCCCGGAGATCAGACGAGCACCCCGAAAACCAAAGAGCTCTCCGAAAAGGACATTGGGAACCAGTTGCACATGTTAACCAACCGGCACGACAAATTCCTGGACTCCCTGCGTGAAGTGAAGGTGAGCGACTTGATGTTCCCCTGGCATTCCACAGGGCCGGGGGTGGGCCTCAAAAATTGTAGCAAGGGGTTCTCTGCCCGGTGGCTGAGTGAGCGTAGCCATGGTGGGTGTGGCCTAGTCGGCCTCCTGCACCACGGTGGAGAGGGGGGGGCGTTTTTGCCCTCCCCAGACTCTGGAGGCTTTCTTCGAGCCTCCGGGAGGGAGAAAACGGCCTCCCCGGGCTCCGGAGACTCTCTAGAAGCCAGAAACAGGCCCGTTTCCGGCCTTCCCGAACTTCCAGGAGGCCCGTTTTTCGCCTTCCCTGAGCCTCCACGCGCGCCCTGCACTTACCTGCCTCCAAAACGGGCCGCGTAGGGACTCCTGGGTGTCAGGAGTTCGGCAGTTACTCCAATTAAATCATGAGCCTTGAGCCACACTCCCAAAACTAAGAAAAAGATTTATTTGAAGTTAACATTCTACGTCCCGCACTAACCTGGGCGTAGCCAACTCTGAGATACGTGATTCACTGTCACCCTCGATCCTGTTTTTCCCCTCCGCTCCTCTGGGTGTATCATCCAACGAAACACATCCATAGCCAAGAGTCACCAATCATGCTCTCCAATTAGATTTTTGTGGGGCAGAAGCTTCAGTCATCGAATCAGTCTTTGAAGAAAATATGAATGGAATGTACTTTCGATTCCACGCTGCCGCCGGCTCTTTGAAACTCCCCGCCCCCCTTCTTTCTTGTTGTCAACTATAAAACGTGTGCGCAAAATGTTCTATGAGTCGACACTGGGAATGGGAGGGGCAGGGCAGGGTGGGCGGGGCCAGCCAGGAGTAGGATTTGGGGGTTTTCTGAACTGCGCAGAATCTTAGCTAGGGGCTCTCCTGAGCCCCTCCGAACCCCCAGCAGCGCCACCCCTGCACAGGTCCCTTTGAAGCATCGGAGCCTATTTTGCATTTTGTGTGTGCTATTAATACCCCTTTGGGTGGGTGTGAAGTTGTGTCGCAGGTCATTCTTTAAGGTGTGTCCTAGCATGTTGGGGGTTATAACCATCCCACAGTTGGTCTGCTGGGTTATTATAGCCGTAGCACTTAGACTTATATACCGCTTCACAATGCTTTCCAGCCCTCTCTAAGCGGTTTATAGAGTCAGCCTCTTGCCCCCAACCATCTGGGTCCTCATTTTACCCATCTCGGAAGGACGAGAGGCTGAGTCAACCTGTAGCCTGTCAGGATCGATCTCCTGGCAGTGGGCAGAGTTAACCAGAGTTAAGATGAGATCTCTGGCTTGCTGGTCTGTCTAGCAGCTTTTCCTAGCTCCGCACATCCCATCCAGATGTGTGGCCTTGGGTAGTTGTAGTAAACCTGCAGGCTTCTTGGTGGTAGCTTTAGGGATGGCTTCTCCCTCCTTCGTTCTTCCTGGTGGGGTAAATCAGCGTCTTCGTCACCATTGAGTTATGCCTAACCAGCAGTTTTGTTCCAGACGGGAGCCCTGCTAAGTGCCTTCGTTCAGCTTTGTCACATTTCCACCCCTTTGGCTGAAAAAACTTGGATCCAGCTGTTTTCCAGATTGTGGAAAATCCTTTCAGACAGACAGCAGCATGTGAGTGTCGTTTTGAAAAAAAAAAAAAAAAAGCGGTGATGAAAAACTGGTGATATATTTTGATGCCTTCCTTCCTTCCTTCCTTCCTTCCTTCCTTCCTTCCTTCCTTCCTTCCTTCCTTCCTTCCTTCCTTCCCTCCCTCCCTCCCTCCCTCCCTCCTTTCTTCCTTCCTTCCTTCCTTCTTTCCTTCCTTCTTTCCTTCCTTCCTTCCTTCTTTCCTTTTCTTTCTCTTCTCTTTCTCTTTCCCTCTCCCTCTCTCTTTTTCTTTCTTTCTTTCTCTTTCTCCCTCTTTCTCTTTCTTTCTTTTTCTCCCTCCCTCCTTTCCTTCCATTCTGTGGTGGCTCCCTCTCTCTGGAACATCACCCCCCCCCAGAGATTAGAATGGCCGCCATCCTTCCAGAAGGCCCTGAAGAAGACCTGGTTCTGCCAGCGGGCCTGGGGAACCCAGAGCGGGATGGAGCCCATCAAGTGGCTCGTGGGATGTGCTGTTGTCAGGGCGGGGAGTAATTTTTTATTTATTTATGTTTTCCCCAGATTTTGTTCTATTGTACTTTATTAATTTACTTAATTCTTTCTGTTAGTTTTTTATTTTTTTTTTATTTTTTGTTTTAATTATGGTTTTACATTGCGTAAGCTGCCTCGAGTCGCCATGGGCAAATAGGTGGCAAATATAAAATAAATAAATAAAAATAAAATAAGATAAAATAAATAAAAAATAAAATAAAATAAAATAAAAATAATAATAAAATAAATAAAATAAAAAAATAAAAAATAAGATAAATAAAAATAAAATAAATAAAATAATAGAATAATAAAATAAATAAAATAAGTAAAATAGATAAAATAGATTAAATAAAATAAATAAAATAAGTAAAATAGATAATAGATAAAATAAAATAAATAAAATAAGATAAATAAAAATAAAATAAATAAAAATAAAAATAAAATAAGATAAATAAAAATAAAATAAATATAATAAAAAATAAAATAAATAAAATAAGTAAAATAGATTAAATAAAATAAATAAAATAAGTAAAATAGATAAATAGATAAAAATAGATAAATAGATAATAGATAAAATAAAATAAATAAAATAAGATAAAAATAAAATAAGATAAATAAAAATAAAATAAATATAATAAAAAATAAAATAAGTAAAATAGGTAAAATAGATAAAATAATTAAATAAATAAAATAAGTTAAATTAAGTAAATGAACGCTGCTCACGATGCCAGCTTTGCCCCTGGAACGATGGCCGTTTTTTTCCCCTTTTAGGCTCTTGCCGGTGAAATCAGCCCCTTCCTGTGTAGCGGAAGCCACCAGGTGCAGCGCGACTGCCAGCCGAGCGCCTTGAACTGCTTCGTGGAAGCCATGTCGCAGTGCGTGCCCCCCACGCCCATCCGGCCCTGCGTGCTGAAGTACCTGGGCAAGACCCACAACCTCTGGTTTCGCTCCACTCTGATGCTGGAACACCAGGCCTTCGAAAAGGGGCTCAGCCTGCAGATCAAACCCAAGCAGACCAGCGAGTTTTACGAGCAGGAAAGCATCACTCTGCCCCAGCAGGTAGAGCTTGGCCTTTCTGGGCGGGAAGACGGCGAGCATCGGTGCTCTGGGCAAAGAAATTACCCAGCCAGGGTGGAAAACGCGGGAAGGGGAGGGACAAATGGGAAGCCGGTTGAGCTACGCGGTGTTTAGAACGAGAATCGCTTTGCTCATCACAAAGGTCACCTGTCATAATGGCCGCAGTGCAAGGCAGTCGCTCAGTGAGGGGCCCCTGCAGGCCACCTCTAAAGTCATTTGCAGTTGGAGTGACTGATAGATCCAGATAAATAAATGCATGTCTTAAAGTTGCCGTGCCCTTATGTCTGGATGTTTGAGCTTTGTAAGGACCTTAAGGAAGGAAGGAAGGAAGAAAGGAGGGAAGAAAGGGAGGGAGGGAAGGAAGGAAGGGAGGGGGAAGGAAGGAGAGAAGGGAGGAAGTGGGAGGGAAGGAGTGGGAAGAAAGGGATGGGGAAGGAAGGAAAAAAGGACAGAAGGAAAGGAAGGAAGGAGAAAAGGAGGGAAAGAAGGAAGGGAGGGAGGGAAGGAAGGAAAGGAAGGGATGGGGAAGGAAGGAAGGAGAGAAGAAGGGAAGGAAGGAAGGGGGGAGAGGGAAGGAGGGGGAAGAAAGGGATGGGGAAGGAAGGAAGGAGAAAAGGGAAGGAAAGAAAGGAAAGAAGGAGGGAAGGCAGGAAGGGAAGGAAGGAGGGGAGAGGGCGGGAGGGAAGAAGGGGGAAGGAAGGGATGGGGAAGGAAGGAAGGAAGGAAAGGAGGAAAGGAAAGAAGGAAGAAGGAGAGGAAAGGAAGGAAGGAGAGAAGGAGGGGAGGAAGGGAAGGAAGGAAAGAAGGGTAAATTTAAAGAGGGGAAGAAGGGAGAGAAGGAAGCGAGGGAGGGAGGAAGGAAAGAAGGAGAGAGGAAGGAAAACTTTGAAAAGGAAGGAAGAATAGAAAAGAAATTTATTTTGAAGAGGAAGGGAGAGAGGGAGGGATGGAGGGAGGGAAGGGTATCTTGATGGGTCGACCAGCTTAATTATCAACCAGTCCCTATTGATCTTAGGTTGCCTTTTGTCTTTTACCCTCACCTCCCCCCGCCCCCCCCCCTAGGAAATCCTCGACTCTTTGGCAGAATTGTACTGCTTGCTGCAAGAAGAGGACATGTGGGCCGGATTGTGGCAGAAACGGTGCAAGTTTCCAGAGACCGCCACCGCAATTGCTTACGAACAGCACGGCTTCTTTGAGCAGGTTGTGTGTTTGTGTGTGTTTGTTTGTGTGTGCGTGTGTGTGTGTGTGTTTAACCAGGCTGTATCGAGTGAAAGAGAAGACCACAAAAGTTGTCATTTCTTTGATACCAGAAGCGGTGGGGGGAAGGTTCTCCTTTATGGATGAACAGTTGGACTGTTTGTGATCTTGATGATCAAGGGCCTCGGGCAAGCCAGGATAAATTCAAGCCCTGAAGATTGAAATTAAGAATATTTTTGCCCCCACAAATTTGAGGTGCTCAGCGGTAGTTGCAGAGGTGGGTATTCAGCCGGTTCTGAACAGTTCTGGAGAACCAGGAGCGAACATTTTGAGTCGTTCAGAGAACCGGCAAATCCCACCTCTGACTGTCCCAGCCAACCCCATCTCTTCTCTGCCTCCTGAGTCCCAGCGGATTGGCTGGGTCTTCTTTGGTTGCCCTGTAGAGGAGAATGGAGCTGGAAAGCAGGTTAGTGGGATGGGGAGGGAATGGGGATTTTGCAGTATATCCTTCCCCTGCCACGCCCACCAAGCCACACCCACCAAGCCCCATCCATAGAACCGGTAGTAAAAAAAAATGAATCCCATCATGGGGTAGTTGCCACCGTGGCTTTTGGTGATGATGTTTGCAATCAAGGCCGGAAGTAGCCTTTTCTGGCCAAAATCCTACAGAAATGCAGCATTTGAGCGCCAATTAAATACATATAATCCTCGACTTAGAACCACAACGGAGCCCAAAATTTCTCTTGCTAAGTGAGACATTGGTTAAGTGAGTCCCCCCACTCACCCGTTTTACGCCCCTTTTTTGCCGCATCTGTGAAGCGAATCATTGCAGCGCTCAGGATAGTCACACGGGTGTTAAGTGATTCTGGCTTCCCCGTTTGACTTTTGATCCCCCATGTTGATCATGATATTTACTTATCTCTGTTAACATATCTCCTTTATTTATTTTTTTGACCTATTTCTAACTTCCATTTTTATTATTTAACCATTGATAAAATAGATTCCATACCATAGAATAGTCAGAATGCTCTTTCTCTTTGATTGCCAATGTTAATCCATTCATTTCTGCACATTCTAACCTTTTCCTAATCACCGTCTCATCTGTAGGTATTTCTTCGCTTTTTCAATGTCGTGCCTATACAATTCTAGCCACGGTTAATATATGAATAACTAAGTATACATGTTAATTATTTTATCAATGGTTGGAGAATAAAAATGGAAGTTAGAAATTAAATATACGATTATAGAGGAGAAGGAGCTAAGAAGAGGATGTTTATAACGATAAGATACGTGTTAGCAGGTCAAAATAAGAATGTAATTATTGTTGTTATGGTAAGGGATTTGTATTAATCAGAAATATAAGATATATGTACCCAGATGACACACTGTTTAAATGAAAGATGGAATGTTTGTAAAATAAGACAATTTTAAAAAACTAAGTGTATATTTTCCTTTCAAGGCTCAGGAAACCTACGAAAAAGCCATGGAAAAAGCTAAGAAGGAACACGAAAGAAACAATGCATCACCTGCTATTTTCCCTGAATATCAGCTCTGGGAAGACCATTGGATTCGGTAAGTTGAATTAAATCTGACTGCTGCTCATTTTTTGTTTTTTTATTTTAGGATGTGATTATGAACGTTTGGGCCTCTGGAGACCCAGAGGATATGAGGGTTAACCCCCTGAATTTCAGAAAAAAAAATATATCCGGAAACCCGCAAACTTTGTTCCGTTCCCTGAGGGCTTGGGCCTCCTTTAAGCTTTGTAGAGACGTTCCTTGCTTTTTACTTGAATGGATTTCCAAAGAAATCTTTTCCTTCATTACAAAAAAGATGTTGAGACTCTAGAAAAAGTACAGAGAAGAGCAACCAGGATGATTCGGGGACTGGAGACTAAAACATACGAAGAACAGTTACAGGAACTGGGCTTGGCTAGTCTAGTAAAGAGAAGGACCAGGGGAGACATGATAGCACTGCTGCAATATCTGAGGGGCTGCTATAGGGAGGAAGGGGCCAAGCTATTTTCCAAAGCACCCAAAGGCCAGACAAGGAATAATGGATGGAAACTGAACAAGGAGAGATTTAACCTGGAAATAAGGAGAAACTTTCGGACAGTGAGAAGAATCAACCCATGGAACAGAAGTTGCCTTTGGAAGTTGTGGGAGCGCCATCACTTGAGGCTTTCAAGAAGAGATTGGACTGCCATCTGTCAGAAATGTTGTAGGGTCTCCTGCTCGGGCAAGGGGGTTGGGCTAGATGACCTACAAGGTCCCTTCCAACTCTGATTATCTGTTATCTGTTACCTTCCACATGAAAGTTGCGATCAGAGAAAAAAGACCGGTTTTGTTGACCCTCGCACCACGAATGTGTCCTCTCCAACGTGTTTGGGAATATTTTCCCAAGTCAAAATGGAGTAGAGTTATAACTATTTCAGATTCAGCTCCTAAGAAGGGAAAAATTGGGAACAAAAGACGGGGATTGGATGTGGGAAAGTAGCTCCATTCTTCGAAAGGGTTTTGAGCAGATTCTCTCTGTTCTGGCTCTCACAAGGGTAGAATAAAGATAAAGATAGGATAAGCCTTGCCCAAAAAAAATTCCTTATTGAATCCTCAATATAGTTGGCCTAGAGGTGGAGCTCTCACCTCACAATCAGGAGGATGTGAGTTCGATCCTAGCTAGAGGCAGATATTTCTCTCTCTGGGCACAATGAAAATCTATTGGCTGAATGTAACTCTGCACTGGCGACAGGAAAGGCATCTGGCCAGTAAACAGCCTGCTCCATTCAGTTGGCCAGACTTCACCCCGCAAGGAATTATGGGGTCATTAAAAGGTGATGATTGAATCTTCAATATATGAGAGCCAGTGTGGCCTAGTGGTGAAGGCCTCAGACTAGAAACCAGGAGTCTGTGAGTTCTAGTTCTGGTTTAGAAATGAAAAGCCGGCTGGGGAACTTTGGGTGAATCACCTGGAAGCTGTGAGTTCTAGTCCCACCTGAGGCACAAAAAGATAGCTGGGAGACCTTGGGGCGATCATCAGGAGATGGTGAGTTCTAGTCCTGCACCTAGGCATGAAAAGCCATCTGGGGGAGGCGGTTGGGGCCAGTCCCTGAGGGACTGAGAGTCCGAGTTCTGTCTTAGGCCTCAAAGCTGGCTGGGTGACTTTGGGGCAGTCACCAGGAGATGGCGAGTTCTAGTCCTGACTTAGCCATGAAAGCCAGGTAGATGACTGTGAGCTCTCTCTTCCTCTCACAGCCCAACCGGTGTCCCAGGGTGGTTGTTATGGGGAAAACAAGACCAGGAAGATACATTGGATAGGTCCGCCCTTGAATTATTTGTAAAAATAATAAAGCCTGGATAACAAATAAATAAGTGGGATGGTTTACAACACCTAGATTTACGGCTTTGGAATGGAGGAGGAAAGGTTTCCTCTTGATTACAAAACTGGGCTGATGTCGCATTTCTCGCTCCCAGGTGTTCCAAAGAACTGAACCAGTGGGAAGCCCTGACGGAATACGGCCAATCCAAGGGCCACATAAACCCATACCTGGTTCTGGAGTGCGCCTGGCGGGTTTCCAACTGGACAGCCATGAAGGAAGCCCTGGTACAGGTGAGCTGTGAACGCGATCAAAGGCTTTTCTCGCAGAAGAGAAGATTCTAAGGTGAAGCCTCTCTGAGTGGTTTGAATGTCTTGCGTTTTCAAGCTTCCCGTCCACCTTGGCTGGGTTGCCTATAATAACCCTATTGGGTTATCTAATATTTTATTTGAATGGAATTCTTTTTATTGGCCAAGTGTGATTGGACACACAAGGAATTTGTCTTTGGTG